GCTGCTCTGTAGTAGCCTTTCCTAATACTAAAGGGTTTCAGAACAAGTACTCCGGCTCTTAGCCAGGGATTATTTTTATTTTTTCTTAAACCTGCAATAGGTTTTTATACCAGAAACTGAATGCCTCTTGGTTAGTCCTTGGCTCTGTTCATCCATTCCCATCACTCAGGCTTTGCTGCCAGTGCTTGTGGTGACGGCAGTCTTGAATGGTGGGGCTTGCCGCATAATTTTCGTATTATAAAAAATAAATTTTTAACCAGGTAGATTAGTTGCCTGCCACCTGAAGCGACATTCCTGAGGAGAGCTCCAGCCCTGCTTTCCCAGTTCAGATCAGCTGTGACTTCTCGTCTTTCTTACCTTCTGAACAGCCGGCATTCAGTCTCCCTGTGCTCAGTACTCGGTTCAATTCCTTGCTGTCCCCTGTACATAAAGTGCCGTCAGCCGAAAATTAAGGCAACAGCTCACTGGGTGACACAGTGACCTTGAGAGTTAGTCCTCCTGCGTGCATCCAATCCCTCACACCATCCATGGTCGGAGGAGATGCTGAGGCCGTATTTTAACCGGGAACGGTGTTTAACATTTACCAGGTAGTCTCATCAGTTTTGAAGCATTGCACAGATAACTCAGTCAGGACTCCAAGTCTATTTGGATCAGTCAGAAGCGAAAAATGATCATTACTGCCTGGTTTGTAAGAGGATAGAGCTGGGTAACTAGGGGCCTGTTGCAAAGATTTTAGCTCTGCTGTCACCTGCTGAGGGCAGGAGTCACCATGCTGCCTCCGTGACCACGGGCTGCGTCAGGAGCAGCCGGGGCTGAGAAAGCCAGCGTGCAAAGTTAAATGTCTGCAGGAAATTTTCAGCAGCAGGAAAACAGGTTGCTACCTGCTTTTTCGGGCCCTTCCTTGCCCCGGGATCGAGGGGCAGGCTTACCTGGGCGCATCCACCGATGACCCACCTGAAGGCAGCTCGTACGGCCCGTGGCGAGGACGCGTACCTCGAGGCTGGACGGGCCACGGCGGGGCTCCGTCACCACACGCCCACAGGGGCCAGCCGAGGGGAACGGGCTCGCACCTCCCCGTTTCCTTGCAGACGTCTGGCAGTGGTCCTCGTGACGCCGATCGTGGAGCTGCCTCGCACCCAGTTCTGCCGTGGAAGTGCCGGTAATTAACCTACTTCTCGAACACATACACAACAACATGCCTTTTTCAAACCAATACTGTGATGCCCACCAGAAAGTAAACTGGCCTTCAAAGGAACGGAGAAGGACAACAAACCCAGCCCTTTTATCCAACAGAAGAGCTGTAGAGAAAGCTGAAGATTTCCACAGAATTTTATCGATGTCTGCATCAGGCAAAGCAGCTCCAGGACACCCGCCTTCCCTTTGCTCCTCATCAGGAGTGTTTTACAGGTGATGCAGGACAGTGCAATCATGAAAATTGGCTACTTCACTGGATTGTTTGTCTGTTAAACCAGAGGGAGTTCAAAGAAGTGATTTTTGCAGAAAACTATTTTGGCAGCTTCAGCAGGGAAATTCTGACGTATATCCACATCCAATATTGGCGTGTTAATACCAACAAGGGGCTATGAAATACAAACAATAAACTAAAGTCTAAGAAAATAACATGCTGCTAATGTGGGTTGAATCAGTAATATTCAAAATTATTGTTTGATATGCTTTAACATTACTTCAAAAAAAAAAAAATTAACTCCAACAGTCAAGTGGTTTTAAAAGGTAAACATACTGAAGTAATTCAAACCACAATTTCAAAGTCATCCAGCTGCATTTCCTCTGGTCTTTTAAACGTACTAGAAGCTTTCTGATTTGTGGAAATGAGAGCATGTACATTTATGAGAAGAGAAAAACAAAACCAGCTACACCATTTTAATTCTCACACTACGTGAAAATAAAAGCATCAGTTGTCAATCCAGACTGCTTAGCCCAATCTGCATTCTTTAGCAGAATTCAACTTCCACCAGCACAATTTTTAGGCAGCAGCAAATTTTGAGGAACATGATGAAAGGGTATGGTATTTGAAATCCCAGCACACTCAGAAATTTTGCTTTAATAGAAGCAATTGTTATATTTAGCATCTTAAATCAAAAGTACTGTCTAGCTACCTCATGCTTAGGATGACAACCGTGCATTCAGAAGCTCTTCTCAAGCGTGGCAGCTGGCAATCAAACTTTTTTTTTGTTTCAGTCAAAATCCATCTGTGGAAGTACTTTCAATCAGAAGTTATGGGGAATTAATTAAAAAAAATGTTCCATTTAGGTAACAAATATCTTTAAAAAAATGTTATTTAGAAAATGAACACCCTTCTCAATAGCCATGGCCACCCACGAGTCACGCAGGATCGAGCCGACTGCCCCAAAGATGGTTTACGGTCTCTTTGTGATCAACAGAAAGTCCCTCAGCACTCTGCAAGCCATTTCACATCTGACGACAAGATTTTTATTTTAGGTACATTCTTAACGGGGTTTTTTCATGGAGACAGAAAAGTACAAAAAATACTGGCTTAGGGATGGAGAGGATTTCAGACGTGACACACGGCAGCGATGTGATTGCACATCTTCATACCACGTAGATGTCACGTGTGTGACCGAGCGGTGTGGTCAGTCGTGAATCCTGACCAGCACGCAGCTGACACTTTAACGGAGGTGACAGTCACGTGCGAAACAGTTTTACCCATGTGAGTACCCGCAGGCTTCCCTGGATTACTCGGGTCTTCAATTAGATTAATCAAACCCATGAAGGTTCTCACGTGCTTGGGTATTTGTGGCACCAGGTACTAAGGCAGAGGAGGTTGTGCCCTGGGCAGGTTTTTTTGCCTGTTTGTTCATTTTTAACCACCCAGGTGGAGTGTCCTTATCTCCTTCCTCCATGACTCCCTGATACCCTCCATTTTCCCCACAAGCAGGGTGGTTTGAGTAATAAATCCTAAAACAACAACTGCCAAGCATTTTCTGTAACACTAGGGATAATCAAGGGGGTGAAACCCATTTTAGCCCTGGAAATTCAGAGTAGTGAGTTTCCAGAGAAACTGGAGCTAACTACTCAATAAAGATTTATAAACAATATGCAATAAGGAGCGATGAGAGTGTGTCAGACACACCAGAAACAGGAATACTTCTACGTGCTTCCAACACCACGGGGTTTGCTACTCAGAACTTACCTTGCACATTGTTGTACAACCCTGTAATTATGGGGGAAAAAACCCCACCTCAAATAAATGTATTTTAAAAATAGCATTCTATTCTGTCCCCTTATTCATTGTGATAGTGGAATGTAAAAATATACTAGGATAAGCCTCACACCTTTATTCAGTGTTAAAAATCTCCAGGTCAATTCAGTTGCCAGTTTGCCACGTGTATGAATGTGTAAATGTGGGCTGAGGTTTTCTTCCTTTCAGAAAAAAAGGCAGTATGGATTTTTTAAAATTTTTTTTAACTAACGTGATATCGGCTAAGAAGCATTTCCAATTTTACACCTTATTTTCTGTTTACACCCATTTGCCCTGCTTCAACCCAGAGTGCAAGGCCGAGAGGCGAGAGCCAGGCTGGTTTTCCCCTTGGCAGGAGCAAAGCACCATCCAGCTCCTTGCCCACAGGTGAGACATTTGCTAAAATCCAGCACCTCACATTGTTGAAGTATGGTGCAGTTGAAGGCAACTGTATCACCAAAGTAACTTGTTTGAGAACTTAGGTTCTCAATTTCAGCTTGTTTGTAAAGTACCACAGGTATTTAGTAGTACAGATAACATTTTTAATGTGACTTGTCTTGCTCCCTTTACCCTATCTGCTGTTCATTTCCATGAGACTGGCTGTGCAGAGGAAAACTGACATTAAAAAACCCAAGCCCATATAACAAGAAATAATCACATTTGATTTGAAGATGTTAACATAATTTCAGGTATCCTTAAAATTTAAAAAAAAAAAAAAAAAAGCAAAGATAACACGGATGGTAAAGAAATGTAACCTTAATTGTGGAGTAAGATGCCTTTGGAAAACTATCCTTTTAAAATACATATAAAATTTAGGTTTGAATAGTCAAATATACGTTTGTATCTGCTCTAATTTAAGAAAAAGAAAAAGCCATCTTTTTCAGCTCTGTTAACCATCATTGGGATTATAACCATCCCCTTCTTTCAAGCTAGGAGAGTAGTTTGCTTTAATAATAATAATAATAACAAAAATATAATCAATAGGCTTATATTTTTAACGTCTATCATCTTAAAATAGATATAAAAAAAGTGTAGAATTTAAAATTACTATACACCTGAGAGAACCACAGCAATGCCATTACTGGTCCAATTTCCAATTGCACTAAATAGAAAAACAGGTTAAAACCTGAAAATAAATCTCCATGGATTCACTGCCATGTGTTTTGCTGTCTTCTCTTGCTTTGGTAATTTCAGGTATTTTGAAACGCTTTGCATCACCAGAGGCAACTCAACGAGAAGTGGCAGTCACATCAAGAAAAAGGAAACTATCCAAACGGTTCAGGTTTTAATTCCTCTGCCCTTGAGAACAGTTGTAATTTTCAGAACCAGTGTATGTATGTTCATGTTTGCTTGTGTCTAGAAGTTCAAGCAGTACTGATCATCAGTATTGATGATACATTGAGAAACGTATTTCTCATTTAAGTGGGAAAATACCAACCTGGAACTAAGCTATGATCAGTTCTAAATCGAGCTTCTTCCAACGTTTTCCTTGTGATGAATTCTTGAAGTATCTTTATTATTTGAAATGTTACCCACCCCCCCTTTTCTAAAAATTATTTGCAAATTATGGAGAGGGGATCTGAAACCAAGGTTAACCAAACGTTTTGGCTGTGGAAAAGAATATAAATCTCTCTCATAAATTTACATGTCAGCAGCAAAAAGACTCTTCAAGTGTCTTAACCACTGTACAGCTTGATAGTTTTAATACTTCAACTTTTTTTTTCCATTTCTCATTGTTGAAGAAATAATTTCACAATCTCAAATCAAAGTCAACACTGCAGTGAGGAGAGCTTTTCTACTTTATTACAAAGAGAAGAAGCCTTTATGTGGTCAGAAAATACAAGATTGATCTTTTTTTTTTTTTTCTCTTCCTATGAAACGCTGCTGTTCAAACAGCCAGAGTGAATTGTCTCAGTTCACTTCTTTAAGTCCCATCACATTCACTTGGGTATGGATGTCCTTGGCTGCTGAAAATCTGGCCCTTTAGTGCACAGGGCGACAAAGTAGTCCCCTGACCAGCAGTTCCAGAATGTCCCGTTTTCATATATTGCATCCATGCACACCTCCTAAAAATGAGGTACAGCAGGGCAAACATTTTCCAAAATAGATGTCATATATATAATATATACACATTCGTACATACATACCTTTATTCATGTGATGTCCAAAAATTTAAAAAAAATGTACACATTTATTACAAAATCGTAACAAAGACTGGACAGTGTTTTGCTCATTCTGGAAAGATGAAGCTCAGTAATACACAACTCTGGAAACTAACCAGAGACTGTGGCAATATCTTTCTTCTAAACAGTCAGATATTCTTGCATTAAGCTTGGCGAAAACTGCCTTTCAAAAACAGAAGGGGAAGTAAAATGAAGGAAGCAAACCTTGCTCATCTTTCCAAATGAAATACGAGAAGGATCTTCACATAAAAATGCACAAACATTTTTTATTACCAATAGTGCTACAATGAACAATGCAAATTTTGTTGTCTAATTTTTTGTCTTTTTTCTTTTTTTTTTGTTTTTACATTTTGGAAAACTAAGTGGTAAACTTTTGTCAGTGTACTCGCTTGTCTTTACAGACCCAAGCTTGTCTGCTGGCAAAAAAATAAAACAAAAACAAAATTCAGACCCTGCTCAAACTAAAGAAAAACAATTACAAATTTAGTTGTTGGGCAGCACATAATTAGTAAGGCAGGACCTCAAATGGTGACCCTTCGCATGAGCCAATTGCCAGATCCTCAAGGAATTAAAACCAGGATGCCTGAGCCACATCAGTTCTGCAGTTATGTTGAGTATTGTGCTGAGACAGCCATACCCCAAGAAAAGGGAAGTCTTTAGAAGGCTTGCTGAGCAGGGTTGTAGTTGAAGGTTGATGGCAGATGAGGCCTTTCTTCTAATTTGTCATATTCCAGATGGAACTCCTACGATTAAAATAAAATAAAAGACAAAACCAAATAAAACATTTCAGTTACCTGTCGAGAACCATTTATTCTACCAGTCATACTTGAGAAGCAAAATACAGAAGAGATCAAATCCTAACGTAGCTCAAGGTAGAAACACAAGATTTTGCTCTCTGGGATTCTATACATTAGTTAGGAAAAAGTCAATATTCCAAGCCATTGCACCTGCAACATGTAGGCTCTCCACCTCTTTTTAATGTTACACTACTCTCTGAACCCTAGTTACGATCTCAAACCATATTTTTTTTTTTATATGTACACACATAAAACACAAATATACAATCATGGCATGAGCTGAGTTACGAGTAAAAGCTTCTGTCTTTCCACAGTTCAGACGTACAGAGACTTATTTTGGATGACCTGAAGTTCTGGGATATTTTCTGCCCTACTTCCTAATCCAATGGTAAGTTAAATTAGTTATGTTTCTCCTTAGTACAAAATTGGGAAAGACTATCTAAAATGCTAGAGACAAAATACTGAAACCTATTTAAGCCAGAATTTAACAAAATACTGCACCGCATTTCATACTCAAGATTTAAGCTTCAGACTCACCCAACCCTCCTGCACATCCTCAGCTCCCTGCTCCTATATCACACTTTGCCAACATCTTTCACGACAAATTCTCCCAGTGTTTTATGAACAACCACGCAAAATAAAAAATCTTTGCCTAAGTACTCAAATACCACACCAGCTACTGGTTCATAAATAAGCAGCTTTATTGTCTCACCGACACAATCACCTGACTTTTGTTTGAAGGTGTCTGGTTTGCATAATTGTAAAACATTTCAGTGATCCAGTAATTCTTATTCTGACTATAACAGCTACTATAAATCAGATTGTAACTACTCCTGATGTCTAAATGCATCCTGATTATTACACTGAAAAAAGCAGCTTCCTTCCCTGTGACCTTAATTTCTGCACACAACCCTAATTAGTGCACTTTGACATTTGGTGCTTGTTATTTCATGCAAAAATGTACACTGACTTACTTAAATCTTACATTTTTCAGATCGTCTCAGCAGTTTAACTGTGTCTCACCTGCATTTTATCTTCATTCAAGAAACAGAGTAAGTGGAAGTTTCAGAATTGTTCGTTAAGGGTACTTCTTGGTAATTCAACAACAGCTACCTTGGACATGCACAGTAATTTATTCTGCCTAACTCGTTGGAGAACCTCAGCAGAATATCATCTGTATCTGCAGAGCAAACTTACTCTGCTATTTTTACATACAGGTGAAAAAAGCTAACACTAGTAAACAGATCATTTTAGAACATTCCCTGAAGTGATTAAACAGTGTAAGATTTCAGTATTTACAGGCAAACTAAATTAAAGACCAAGTCAATGCAAAACCAGAAATAAAATCTAGGAAATCCAACTCTCAGACCTCTCGTAAGAAAAAGCAAGGTCCCTCTAGCACAGAAAGAACAGTCAGCGTGGTAAGGAAACAAAGTAGGGGAAAATGCTAAGCATTCGGTAAGCCTGTATCCCCCAGGGAATACTGTCCCTGAAGCTGGAAAAATCCTAGCCAAACCAATGTGAGGTTACAGCCAGCTGCACTGAAGTGCTGCACATCTGCTTCATTTCTGGTTCCCCGCTCTCTGCTCCAACCAAGGGTATTTTTTAGTTGGTTGCTTGGTTTGGTTGGGGTTTTTTTTTTAATTATTATTTTGGTGGTGGGTTTATGTGTTTGGGCTTTTTTAGGTTGTATATACAAGTCAATTGCTTTTGGCATTCCTAATTAACACTGCATGCCAGATTGTGTATGTTCTCTTTTTGTGCAGATACACAACGTGTGCTGATCCTGAAGACACCTCCTCCCTCCTCTTGTCAGAAGCAAGATCGAGGAGTACAAATCTATGCAGGTATTTTGGTGCCAAAGGCTGGTTTAGGTTGGGTGGATCTTCAGTAATTCTGAAGTCATTTTATAATAGAAAAGATCCGCTCAAATTTCTCTCCCATTCATGGCTTTCAGAGTTTCCATTTTGCACATAATCATGGAAGGGTCTGCAGATTACTATCTACCTACAGTCAGCCGTTGGGGAATTGCTTCTTTAACGAAATCGTAAACAAAGAGAAAGGTTAATAATAAAAGCTTCAATCAGAACATCCACACACTCTGAAATGCCTTCAAAATGACCCATGAAAATGGCTACTTAAACCGGTTAGACAGTATCAGTAGCCTAAAAAGGGCCTTCCAAACATAAGGTGGTTGCGTCCCTCTCTCAGCAGTCAGTAGTAGCTGTGAGCAAGGCGCATGTCAAAGAAATGCTCAGTAGCTTGAGCGAGTATCAGTAGCCTAAAAAGGGCCTTCCAAACGTAAGGTGGTTGCGTCCCTCTCTCGGCAGTCAGTAGTAGCTGTGAGCAAGGCGCGTGTCAAAGAAATGCTCAGTAGCTTGAGCAGTCCTTTGTGTGCCATAAATTGGAAGCTTCTCATTTAGAAGAGGGAATATGATTCCCTACCAACATTTATTTAGAAGTACGTGAGTTGATACTTCAAACTGTTACCAATTTTTAAAATAAACAGGCTTAAAACAGCCTTTTTGATTTGCATCCCTGTGGCAGCAATGCTCGAGTCCAATGTCCAGTAGTGCATAAGAACACATAAAGTTGTATCTGACAATACCAAAAAAAGAACTCATTGACCAAATTTTTTTGAAAACTAAAAGGCAATTATTTATTACATATAGAAAAATACTTGTATTACAGGTATACTTTATGGTTTTGCTTTTGATTCCAGGGGCCACTGTGGTTTAGGATGTGAACAGCAGCACTGATATTTTTTAATATAAACAGATACAAATAAAATGTAAAAATGGCATTTATCCATAGACAAACATCTGTTAAATTGTTTTATTTCCACATGGAAATAATTATTAAAAATTTAATACCTTTTATTAACCAAGAGTAATGAATACTAAATGTGTGTGAAAACTTATAGCACATGCACGACACTAAAGAAATTGTTCTATGCAAAGAAATCCATCACTTCTTGTGCCATCCTGAAAACTTATTATGATGGTCAAGTCACATCAGCCTGCACACGTACAAACAATAATAGGTAAGAATACTAAAGATAGAAGAGAATTGCCTAAGGTGATCCATAGCATTAATAGACAAAAGAGGAAGCTAGCCAAATAGGAAGTGTCCTGAGAACAACATATTCTGGGACTGTGTAAATCCACCAAGGGAGATGGTAGAAATCCCATGGCTAGCTCAAAAATTCCACATGGGACTGAAAAAGCAGCATTTATACTGGCTTAAAGATGGACCCAGAGATCCAAATTTAAATTAAGGGCTGAATTGAAATGCTATGGCACATCTGTATTAGAAGAACAAATTTAACTTTCTAGCAATTATAAAAGTATTTCAATTAATACTGATCTTAAAAGGATAGGGAGTAAACTAATATAGGCAGGAACCCTTACAAGCAAATAAACATTTGGAAATTTAACCGTCTCTCCCATAAAGAATTCCATGTTTTCTAACTACAAAATCAAAGAATTTTATAAACTTGTTCCTTAAATGGCATTAATTCTCTCTACTTTTGAAAGAGAAATTCCAGACAGTTAACTTCAGACAATTTAAATCAGTATTTCAGTAAATGTGCAGTTGTAGAAGGCATTTTTGGTCTCCTATCCACTTCCCTCACTCTCTCATTTGTCTCCCTCTCATGTCTCCTAAACAACAACAAACTATATAGCCACATCCTCAGTGAAAAAAATCAGAGTGTCTTTAACCAAAGTGTACTTTCCCCATGTCCTAGGATGAAAACTCATACACAGACATATCTGTAATCAGCATTTTTCCTACATTTTGTTTTGTATTTAAGGTGAATTTAAAGTTTATTGTCATCCATATTTTTTCACTATTTACTACCATGTATCAACACAGAATTAATTTGATTTTATCTCCTGACAGTTCGGAAATTGTCTCATTGCTCAGCTGTTTTGCTGCCTGTTATCTATTAGGAATATAAAAATAGAGCCTACAGCTTCATAAAAAAGGTAAGTATATTATTTGATGTTTTCTTGAAAGAAGTTATTCAGCCTACTTTATTTGGCTTTGTTAAAATCAAAATCAAGCCACACCTGTAAAATCCCACATAACCAAACTTAAGTGAGGAATGAGACTCTTGACAAACTATTTAACTTAAACAGACTCTCTGTATGTGTAATGGTTGAATGTACATTGTGAATTTATCTTTTTTTTCAGCTTCAGCTGAAGCTGAACACACCACCTTGTAGGACAGGCTATTTTCAAAAGAGCACACCTCTTGTCAGGTTAGTGAATGGGAGCACTCCTTATTTCTCAATAGTGTTTTGGCACATATCTGCATTAAAAAAAATCTTTGCTTTAGCGGAGAAGAGAAATCACAGAAATTGGGATCCAGCAAGGAAAAGCCATTGTACAAGATGGCCTTAAAAACTGGAATTGGAAGGTCTTAGAAGTTGGCAGATACTGAAAATTAATTATCTTTGGGGGAAAGCAGAGAAAATGAAGCACAATTCTATGAACTTCTCCAGCTAACAAGTTAAGGGTGAACACTACTGACAGTATTCATGGACAGAAAGGAACAAATAGATTATCAGAAGTAGGAAGGGAGAAGACTGTAGCTTTCAGATTTTTTTTAATGCCTCTTGGCCTAGAATACAGAAAACAAGCACCATGAAGATACGCGTCCACCCTAAAAGAAGTGATTTATTTCAAAGTACTCTGATGTTCAAACAACAGAACACAAAAGTCCTGCAGTATGCTCAAGTAGAGAAAATATCTGAAAAAAAGCAAACAAAACTCCACAACCCAAACAAACCTCAAAACAAAACAAAAAACCCAAAACAAAACAAAAGCCACCCCCCCTCCCTTTTTAATTCCAAAGTGAGATATGGTAGCTTCCCATTGAATTTTCTAAAGCAAACCAATAAAATATCTGCAAGCACAATCTCTAACATGCCAAATAATGCTATTTTATATTTCTGTACTTGAAAAAAGCTTTCGATCTAAACAAAACTCATAATCTAAGTTCTACTTCCTTATACCTCCCAAAGAACAGAGCAGAGAGACATCTCATTTTCCACAAACAAGCCAGTGTTTTAGGCGATTTCTATTCCTTCACACATCAGAAATTAAGATAATGAACTTAAAGAATAGGAGGTTAAAAAGTTTGAGATTTTTGGGGAGGAGGCTGGGTTTTATTTCTGTCCTTTTAAAAATACATGGTTGACAGACTTAAAAAATCTGCACAAGGGAAAAGAGATACCTTAGCTACTTTCCTCCAGTTAAGACAGTCAAAGAAGTAATATGTTCCCCTCTCGTACGTATTGGTTTTCATTGTTGGCTCCATGCCGGGTGCCCTGGTGATCCATACTCGTTCTTCTTTGTGGTATCTCCAATCCCGGTTAAATCTTTCATTTTTAATAGGAAGGAAAAATAGTTTTTAATGTTAGTTATCTGAATTTGACTTCATAAAATACAATTCTAAGGTTTTCAATCAACACTATGCAATGCATTCAAAACGAAAACAAAATTTCTAAGACATCGTTATACCTGGGATCTCATACCTCTTCCATACAATTATTACACCTCAAACTAATCACATATGAAACTTTAAGAAGTCTGGTAGGTTCAAACAACAAATTCTTTTTATGATTATTTACTGCTTTTCATTTTGCTAAAGATAAGTTAGATGTTTAATGATGACTGGCACTTGCCACTTCTTCACAGTGCTTCATAGTAACACAAAATTTATGATACAGACTTTTGATTTTGGCTATATGAATGAAAAAAAAAAAAGTACAAAATGGAACCAAGGTTGGAGGAGGTATTTAAAAAAAGGTTTCCAGCTTTAGATTGACTAAGCTTCTGTTTTCATTGTCTAACTTGGGAGGGTTTTTTACATCTACTACTTCATTACTGCAATAGATTAAATCATATAAGACTGACAAAATAGTGTGAACGTACAGCTCTACTGCTGCTAATAGCTGTAATACATCTCCTCCATTCATGTAATAGAGATAAAACAGGAGATCTTCTCCATATCGGCCAAGTTTTATTGCAGCCAGCTGCAAAAGATTGAAGAAAATGAGGATGAAAAATCACAATAGATAAATGTTTTAAGACATACTATCCCACTTAAATAACACAAGGATACATCCAGAACGTGCTTCCATCCCAAGTGTGTTGCTAATGATACTCTAATATAACAAGAGTAATAATTATTAAAACAATCATTTTTCTTCACTTTTACTTAACCTTTCCAACTTATAAGATGCAACAGAAAAATAAAGAGAAGTAATGAATCAAGACAGAATTTTCTCCCTGCACCTGTGTGTATCCTCATCTACTTACTTTTTTAATTTAAAAAACCCAAACATTTACATGTATTTGCTCACTTCACGCTCTATTAAGTAACATTACTACAACTTCTTACAATATTTCTGAGTGATCCCTCTCACAGAACTACAATAGTTGAAAGAAAATACATGAAGAAAAAAAATGCCTGTTCACATAGATATGGAAAGGAACAGATAAACATGAGAATATCTTGAACTGAAATTCTGAGCTTATCTCAAGAAGAAACATCTCAATTTAATATGGCATTTGAATATTACAGTACATAGATTATAACAAACTTCTGCTTTGCATGAAGGGCATACTCTTAAAACCAAAATGCATTTCTTCAGCTAACCATGCCCATCCTCAGTTTTGTCTTCCCTTTCTTTTTCTAAGGTGGAATGGGTGCATGAAGCATCCAATTAGCCAGTTAGTACATCGCTATTCCTAAAAAGACTGACATCCACAAAATGCACTGATTTTGAACATTACCTATCTGAAAGAAAATTTAGAAAATTACTGGTAATTAATTAACAAAAAATAAGCACGCACACACACACACGTACTCACCTTATCCCTAATGTGAATGTTAGTTAAGTATTCAGATGGAACATGGAAGTCTAAAAAAGAATCGGAATTGATGCAACTATTAAGACGTGTAAATGAATATAATTTGCAAATATTAATATTGAATTAAATAGTTATTTCTCTCTTACCTATATCTTGAGGTCGACACGGTGATGATGCCCAGGGTGATGCAAATTTGGGATAAAGATTTCTGAAGAAAAAGAAAAGCACAAATTTATTAAAAACAAAAATCAGAACAAACAAACAAAAAATCCCCACAACCAAGCTCACAAACCTAAACACCAGGCCACGCTACCAAAATCACTACCTAGGTTGAGAAGGAAGGAGAAAAGGAAGTTCTCAGCCCACTTTTCTAAAATAGTTACATTTATTAATTTTCTTTTTAATACATGGAGTAAGATTGCATTTAAACTGCTATGGAAATCTATGGGGCCAAGATTTCCTTTTTAACCTATCATGCCTTTAACTTCGGTGCCAGGGATCCCAACCCTTTTTAGGGATCCAATTTTACACAGGTTTGCAATTTGTGTAGGAACAGTTGCCACAAGCCTGGTGGGTTCTGATCTATTAGCCTATGATTTAAAAGGTGAGGAAAAGCTTACACTGGCAGATGTTACTTTTTCGTTTTAAACTAACCAGGACAGAGCTTACTCTTCTTCTAGATTTCAGTGACGACAAATAAATTGAATCCCAGCACAACACGAACATAAGCTTATTATGATTTAATATTTTTCTTTTATACAGATTTTGCTAACTTTTTTTTTTAAAAATGGAGCCATTAGTTTAATAAGGAGAAAACAATGAACTTTCCAACTCTACCACAATGACTGATGTACTGAGGAATGAGTTTTCTAATTAACAATTAAAGTGAAAAGAAAAAAAAGAATAAAAAGGGCTGAGCAAAATGTACTTTTGATAGGTAGCTACAGCCTGCTTTTAATTATCCATGATAGCACGGTATTACAGCAACTTTTATAAATTAAACTTGAGTATGGTACACTATCAAATCCTTCCTTCCTTCTTGTCAAGGGCCTAATAATTACTAT